TGTGTGTGTGTGTGTGTGTGTGTGTGTGTGTGTGTATGAACATGACTGTGGCCCCTCCTGGATACTGTTTGGTGCTGGAGGTGTTGACAGCTGTGGGACGCCAAACAGCAGCTGGGAAAGCATGGAGCCCTCATCTCCCTCTCAGCCGCCCCACTGTGTGTGTTTGGAGAAAGGAGAGGGAGCATGTATGAAATGTGCATGAGTGCATGACATGCAAGTGCATGGAGGGGAGTTTGCTCCGAGGAACCTGAGGTGCTCTGGAGTTATACTTGAATGTTTTAAACGGCCCATAATGGATTCAAATCAAGTGTTTGTTTATTATCCGTGCACAATTAGTACAGTCTTTGTGTAGATGTGTGTTCAATTTAGTTTGGTGCCTTTGCTGGACCACCGGATCGCCATTGATCAGCTTGTGTGTGTCCTTGTGTGTGAAGACAGCAACATTAGTGAGAGCACTGAGCTGTTCGTTTACTCAGCAGTGACAGTTCAGCCAAATGGATCGCTGCGTGGTTTCCCCTGCTTTGTTCTGCCACACCGACATCAGACAATTCGAACGTCTTTGTGTTTCTTTTTGGCTTCTTTGTGCACATGCAGGCAGCAGAGGAAATGAGCTTCTGATGTGTATATGCAAATACACAGAGAAAGCAGGTCGTTCAAAAGACAAACAGACAAAACCATGAGATAGACTTAGATCTCATCCTACATCTGTCAGTCACACGTGCACTGCTCATGCGCACGTTTCTCTGTAGAGACTTCACTCACTGCCGCCCTAAAAATCACAGGGCTGGTGGATGTCATTCACTTGTGTGTGTGCAAATTCATCCTCCATCAAATATGAATTTATCATTAAGCATGTGTGTGTGTGTGTGTGTTCCATGTATTACTCATAAATCTGTTTACACAGTCACATTAAGGGGACTTATCTTTTTTGTGGACACAATAAGCAAGTCCCTATAATGTAAATTCAGCTATTTAGGTCAAGACATGTTGTAAAGTTATGTTAATGTTATGTTGAATTTAGGTTAAGGCTTATGTTTAGGTTAAGTTTAGGTTTAAGTCAAGGTTTGTGTTAGGCAAGTAGTAACTCTAGTTACGAGTACTGCTGCTGTAGTTAAGGTTGGAGAAAGTTCATAAGGAAATTAATGGAAGTCAATGTAATGTCCCCTGAAGCCATGGAGTCACGCACTGTGTGTGTTTGTGTGTGTGTGTGTGTGTGTTGTGGCCTCCCGCAGCCCTCTCTCTGTGTGGAGCCAGTCACAACATTGCCTTAATTATTGAGGGCTCAGCAGTGCGGCTGCATGCCTCTGTTCCACAGATTTCTGTGTCCTGGCGTCATCCTTTTCAAAAGCCTTCTGTCAGTGACTGGGTCAGGGTCTATTCTACACATTCAAAAAGCAGCCAGCGTCTCTTCTCTCCCCTTTCTTGCAGAATGGCAGGATTGTCTGTGTCTGTCTGCCGCTTTTCCTCAGCACTCATCAATGGCTGCAGAGGATGTAACAGGTGATATAAGTAAGAAATAAATCACACTGTTGTCCCGCAGATTCACCCGCTGGGGAAAGTGTATTTCGCTGCAGGAGCTGATGTGTTGTGCAGCCATTGCATCGCAGCTTAATGGCTAGGTGAGGGTGGCTGCACCGTGTCCTCCGTCTTCCCCCATCCCCCACCAGCCTCGGGCAGAGGATGCGGTAGAACAGGATGATACAGTGCGCAGGGTGTCAGGGAACCAGTGTGAGACTATTAATAATAGAGTGCAATCAAAGACCGGCCTGCTCCACAGCCACACAACTGAATGGCTCATTGTGTTTTGCTGGTTTTGGTCATCCACACATCTGGGTTGGTTTTCTGCAGCATTATAGTGTAATGTAGCGCCATGGCTTCCTCAGTGTGTGTTGGGTTGTGTGTATGACCAAAAGGCAGCGGCAAGCAATCAATTGTGTGAAGCAGCATCATTGATTAATTGATTTCCAATAGCCCTCCCCCCCGCCATTTCTTTACCTCACGCCAGCACCTAAAACAAAGCTCCCCACTCTTTGTTTCTATTGATGTGGCCATGATGTAACACTTTGTTTATACTAAGACAATGCGCACCCTTGTCGAGACAAAAGAGACGACAGTGTTCGCGGTGAAGAAGTCGTGTGGGAAGCGTAGGTTAGCTTGGGTCAATTGCCCCTCAGCCTTATTTGCATCATGGCCTCATTATAGTCAGCAGGACAAAGGAGTCAGAGCTCCAGCCCCAATTGGAGCAATTGTCCAAGAAGAACATGCCGAGGGATCATCCAGCTAAGATCTGCCTTTTCTACAAGAGGTTTTTGTTTTCATCTTTGAAAACAATATTTATTCAATCTTGAGTTGTGGGTTGTGGAATTCCATCGAAGGAAAACTGACCTTTAAGACTAAATGACTAATATGTCTTTAGTTGAGCAGATACTGATGATGGTGAGATTAACAATTAGAGACAATTAACCTAAACTTAAATAAACTTGGTCATAAACCAAACTGGACAAATTGAAATTCTGACCTGACGATGGTTCACTAATATTTTTACAATTCATGCTGAGGGGAATTTTAATCCCTGTACCAAATTTCATCCTAATCCATCCAACGAGACACGTTAATAAAAATGTGTTCGTTATAGTAAAAGTCTGAGATAATAATAATACGTTATAAAGTGCTTCACAAAGAGGACAAATAAAAACAATACAACAAAATATTAAACAAACAAAGCAGATTCAGTAAAAGCCATTCGGTAAAAGAAAGTTTTTAGGGATCATTAAAGTCAATAGAGTTTATTCCCCGACGTCGAATAGAAGCTGAGATATTTCAGAGTGGATGCGAGTGGTGCAGTGACACTCACTGCAGACATGGCTGAGTCCGCCCTGTGTTCACCACTGTGCTTTCTCATCCGTTACTTTGCACATAGGCACACTGCAGGATCTCAGTACGTCTTCACAGGCAGTGTGTTATTGGAACAGACACACACATGTTTGAAGACGTATGTGTGAAGTGCAAGGGGGCTGTGGCAGTCGTGTGACAGGTGATCCATCACTGGAGCTTGCTGATGTAAAAAGTGTCACCTTGTTAGAGGAACAAGTTCAATCTTATGGTAATGAAGTCACTTAATGAGCCTGAGGTGTCGACTGTATCACTTCCAAGAATGACAAAATGAAGTCCTGCATGCGTGTCTGTGTGTGTGTGTGTGTGTGTGTGTGTGTGTGTGTGTGTGTGTGTGTGTGTGTATATATACATATTTGTAGTCTTATGAAATACTCAAAAACACATTGACAGTCACTCATTCATACTGTACTACAACATGCTGCACTTTTTCTATTATACACCATTCATACACTGCCAGTACAGTACAGTGACAGGCACTGTCCTCCTGGTTAGTGGGCGACCGGCTCTATCTCCTGAGCCACAGATATGGAATTAATATCTTCAGCAGAGGATCTTTATGTTAACGAACAAGTCTTTATGTTGAGCTCATTTGTAATGTGTGTGTGTGTGTGTGTCAACTTAAACATATATTTACACTTTATGGAATGAGGACATTTTGGGAAAGTGAGGAAATTATTTATTTTTCAAAGGACTGTGTGAGGGTTAAGATTTGCTGTAGGGTTAGAATTAAGTTTAGGTTAGTGTCAGAGTACGAGTTAGGGTCAGGCAATAGTTGTGGTTCGTCCAAAAAAACTGAAGGCTGAGCTGAAAGAGATGAGTCTGACAGAGGGTGAGGCCTAACGTGCAGCCCAGGACTGCATTATGCCCCTCAAGGGACGAAGAGGACTTAGTACACAAGATTTAATTGGAAAGGTTAGGGTAAGGGGCTAGGTGTTTGTGTGTGTGTGTGTGTGTGTGTGTGTGTGT